TACTCTTGCCCCTAATTCTCTTTTCTGAGAACATTTTCAACAATTTTATTTACACCTTTAGTTTAGCCAACAGCTTTTTACTCCAGAATTTGGTCAATAATAATAACAATTTCATGGTTTGAAAGGGTAAGGTCAAACTGACATTGATCTGTAGTCAGATTTTAATATGATTAAACCAGCAATAAACCTGAAAGATGTTATATTCAGAGGTTCAGGCAATTTTTTTTTTCCAAATTTAAGTGCTGTCTGCTCAAACGTTACTGAATAATTTAAGGTGGAGGTTTCTCTTAACATTAGTGTCTGCAAAATTCTACTAAATACATAAGCTGTCATATAATATGTAGTTAAATTCCCTAACTTTTGTCAGTGTTGTGCAAAAATCTCAGGATTTTTTTTCTATGATTTTTTGGGGAAGTAAAGCAGTAAATAACTTGTTAGCTCACAAACCCTGAGGCAAATGTAGAAGCACCATGTGAAAAACCAAACAAACCCCTTCCCAGAATCATTAGTATGGTGATGAACAGCATGTTAATGCTAATCAAAAGCACTTGATTAACTGATGATCATCTAATGGCAGCGCCTCCATACAATCAGAACAATAGATAAATTATACTTTGTTAGATGTTTTGCTTTTCAACTAAGTTTGATCTTACAGTTCCTCATCAAAGTCCACCTTCACACAAGTTAATAATTTTTCCATTTTTCATCTATCACAACCATAAAACTCAGTGTTTTTACTAGAATCTAATGTGATACACAAAAACAAATGGAGCCAAATAGTAAAAGGGAAAAAAATGACAAACGTTTTTTTTTTTAACAAATAGAAGTGTGCATTTTCATTCATCAACTTTAGCTCTGATACCCCTGAAGAACATTGATTGCCACTTAATAACTTCAAAAGTCAGCTCCTTAATAAATTACTTCCAACTTTTTTAACATCTGCATAAAAACAACTGTTTTGAGCAAGCCTCGAAAGAAAAAGACTCTTGAATAAAAAAGAGAATCATGGAGACCAACGAGCGCTTCAGATAAGGTTGGGGTTTTGGAGAAATATTAGACGAGTAAAGCTTTTAACATCTCACCAAGCCCAACTTAATCAATTGTGTAAATATGTAAGTAACATGTATGGTTAGAACTCTAGCATAACGGTACGTACCAGTAGTTTTATTTAAAACACCTTTAAACCCATCTCCATGCATATTTTGAACATTTTATGCAAGCAAATTTAATAGCATAAGGCCCCTAATATATAAAAAAAACATGAGTACATGCTTTCTGTTCTCATGGCTTGCTTTTATGTGCCTGTAGATTCTCTCCTACTTGCATGTGGGTCTACTTTTGTCTGCTCATGTCAACTTTTGTCACTCTCAGGTTGGAATCAACCATAGAAAGTACACTGCCTATGATTGGCTACTTTTTTTAGAAAATCCGGCCTCTTGAAACAAGACTGTTTTCTTCCAAGGGGGGAGTTTTCAAAGGAGGAAGTGTTGGCCTAGCGGTTAGAGCAGTGCGCAAGTACCCGGTTCCATCCCCACAGCCTGCACTCTGGGTCCCTGAGCAAGACCTTTAACCCCACACTTAGCATATATGAATTTACAAATGTAATATCATTATCATTTAAGAGTCAGTTCACATTCAAAATTGTGTTACACAATATTATGTGACGAGCCTTCACCTAACAATTTTTTTTTACCTCTAACTCTGCATTCACACAGACAACTTTCTCCACAGTAATTTCCAACTGCACCACGGGCAGTTGAACTCTCTGCAGCAGACCGTGTCATCAGATAGGAAGTTTCAGCTCAACATAGTGCACTAAATTTAATGAGCAAGAGACACTTGTTTTGCTGTGGAGAGCCAAAAAACATCGTCAGCATTGATGTTCATGGGTCAGCCCAATTCTCAAGAGACGGAAGCACTTAGGAGAGAGTACCACAACCTAATTCAAGAGCTGTGCTTGCATGACAGTCAGATTTGGGGATATTTTCTTGTACCTGGGCAGATAGCACCAGAGCTGTGGAGAGGCAGTCATTGGCAAGAATCTTTGCTGGAAGTAGGACAGCGAATGAAAAATGATTCACAGTCTTTTAGACGCCTGGTTTTAAAAGCCATCTATATTTCATCCTTTTTCACCATTATCTTCTCTGTTTCCAGTTTAGTTTGAAAGAATCTTTGTCTTGGCTGCACTCCTTTAATCTACACAACCAAAACCAATCGCTGATTGGTTGCCATGACGCAGTTTCACCGAAAATGTCACAGTTTTCAACACCACTCAGCTCTGACCGTGCGAATAGGAATTCACCACTGCTTGCTTCACTGCTCTTACTCACGCCAGTTTCATAGGGATACCATGTAAATCCACTTGTCTTGCCACAGACATCACGTTTGGTACGAACGCATCATAAGAGAACAGTGATTAGTCAGAGGATGCTTCGCTAACGTTACTAGCTGCAGCCAGGAGGAAAGCAGAACTGTTTCAATGGGAGGGATTTCTTGAAAGTTGCCAATCACAGACAGTTTATTATCTCCAATTGGCTTTTCCCTAAAACTAACTCGACAGGCTTAACACGAGTTCAAAGAAAAAGCTCAACACAGTAGAAAAGTGGGTATAGGCACATAAACAGCAAGCTGCGATCCTAGAGAAGGAGCGTGTTTTCATATTTGGAATTTATTGGGGCCATCATAGTATTGAATCTGCCCAGATAAATCCGTGAGAAGACTAGTTTACGTACATGGGTTTTAAATAAAACTGATTTTGTTAATTGATTGAATTATAAAGTATTTTCATAAACCATTGATTATTTGTTAGGCATGTGCCTTTTTGGCAGAATTTTGGCCTCATAAATATTGCTAAATTTCAAACCTATCAAAATGTGACCATCTACCAGAATAGGGAGAGGACTTGATAAAAGAAAGTTATAATATATGCAGTTTACACTAAGCTATGTAGGTGACACAGCAAACATGAAAGAAGGAGCTCAAGTCAGATGCAGCCAAACTTTAAACTTTTTAACTGCATGCAAAGCATTTCATGTAACAGACAACTAACTTTGCAAATCACTCTGAACAAACCATTACCACTGTCATGATGCTGCCACCATGAGTAGTGGCAAAAACTTTGAACTGGGTCACTAGTTTCAAACAACACGACTAAGTTCATAAGCTGACACCAAGCTTGTGCCTTTTTTATTCCCCTTCCTCTTTACCAGCTAACTCACTTTGGTTGTGTCCTTATCAAAAAATTAATTGTAGTTTATGGTTCAAAGGGGGTTCTGTGAAGAGCTGTTGATCTGTTCAGGGTGTAACCTGCCTTTTGCCCATAGACTGCTGGGGAAAGGCAACAGCCAAGGGTGACCTGCTGTACAAGTGACAGGAGCTAATTAGTTTAAGGTTTTTTTTTTTTGTTTTTTTGTTTTTTTAAGTTTTAAGAGGTACAATAATCTTTCAAAGTATTGTTCTTATATTTATATCTAATTTATTTAACAATGAATGTTAAAAAACTGAGAGAATTTGCTTACTTTAAATAGTAAACGTGAATGCTGAATTTAGAGTTGGTAAAAATAATTAAAAACTAGTGTAAAACCTATCAGGACAGTGAATAGTTACATGTCACTTAAAAACTCAACAGGATAATTTTATATTTTTTATTATGAGTTAATATGGCATTTTAAAAACCAGATAAGTCAACATGTATTTGAAGAGCTGAAAACTGGTATGCAGAGGTCAGAACAAATATCAGCATAAGTATTCATGTAACAAAGACGCATTTTGGAAAAGGAAAAGGGGGAGTAAACAGAAATGGCAGTGGTCAAAACAATGGAGTTAAAGGAAAAAGAAAAAACAGCAGCCACAAACAACAATGAGCAAGGATCAAAACAAGGGGATGGAGCATTTTTAGAAGCAGTGGGATTTTTGTGGGCTGAATTAGATTTAAAAGATTAGGCTCTGCTGAATTTGTTTGATCATCATATTTGTTGTCTTTTGAGTCGCCTCCGATGGACCTAAGTCCTCAAAATGCACACATAAGATTACACATAAATACTAATCTCTAGTCGGGTGGAGCAAGTGAGAAAACGAGGGGGCTGGTGACAACAATAACAATACCTGTGAAAGATTATTTGCAAATATTTCCTACTGACTTTTAACCGTGTCAAAAAAGCCGCCCAAATGTTGAAGCTTGCATTTCTCTTGCAATAGATTCCTTTAAACTACTGATCTTATTTATGAGGTCCTCTTTCTTTGTAAGAACTAAGAGTCACTTGGGTCGCAACAGAGCCCCTCTCAACCTTCTCAGCTTCAGCTTGAGTCTCAAAAGAGACTGCTTTGCAGAGCAATTGTTTGCCAACTGGCTAACATAATCTTAAGTGTTCTGCATTTTGGACACACGCACACATGAGTGAGTATTTATGTTATCAGAGGAGAGAGGTGTTTTGAGAGGGTCTGACAGATAAAGGAAGGGGGGGGGGGGCATTTTGCTACATTGTTTAATGACGTCTCAGTGCAGACTGGCTTACAGGATGGAGAGGAGAACTGAGTTCACTTCAGTTCACAGGCAGACATCTGCATAAGTGCTAAAGCAGGCAATGACCTGTGTATGCAACGCTCCCTATCGGCAAGGAATGGTAAATATATGTATATTTTTGGTTGTAAAAAAGAATACTGTAATGCACAAAATGCGCTTTTGGTTCTACAAGCATATGATGTTGTAATGACGCTTTTATGAGGCGCCTTTACGCATGGCTTATGAGCAGCAGTGCGCACAGACAACAAGCTTTCTCCCTGACGGGGGTCCGTCTCATGAAGTGACAGTGCACCTCTATCGTTAAATAGACTGAGCCCTAAATTAGAAACCATTGTTTCACACATTTACAAGGAGCGACTGCGAAGCCTCCGGCAGAAGAAAAAAAAAGCGCTCCAACACATCCTCGCATGAGGGGAAACCCTACATCTTGCAGTTCCGTCTCGTAACTCCGGTAGCCAATCCAGAGGTGTCGATTTGGTGATGGGGGGGTGGAAGGTGGTGAGCTGCGAGCTTTGAGCGCCTCCTCATACCCTGCGATGGATCTCTCCCGTTTGTGTGGAGCGTGACGTGCTCGCGCACAAAGTTTTGACCATTACATCATAGCTTTAAAATAGTCGGCTCGGAGAAATTACATTTTACGCACAGTGACATCAGCTGCCGGTCAAAGGTGCAGTAGCCTATTACTGTCCTTATTCTTCTTCCGAGGTAAAATATGGACAAAGAACTAAATAGATTTGTGTTTTTAATAAGATTTGTATCAAACATATGCTCTCCCTCAGGTGGCAAACTTTAATGTGATAAAAATAAAAGTCTAAGATGCGTTACCTAGAATACCCACTACACTTTTCAGAGCATTACATCATTGTCTAGTCTGATAAATGAACTAATTGCTTTGTTTGACAGACAGCAGAAAATCTAAATGCATCAATCCACTTTTAATATTCACATTAGACTTTAAATGTTATAATAATAATAATAAAAATCCTACCAGCGATTACTGTGGGCGATCGCTGACCTCCCTCCGGTTTGATCCACATCTCCAGAGTGAAATTTCCCCTGGGTATCTCCACACCAGGCTTCAGCCGCAGCTGGTCTCCCCGGCCGGTGAAATAAACAGCTTTCCCCCGATCCGGAGAGTTTTCCTCAGCGTGAGATGAGCGCCGGCGCTGGCGGAGAACCCGCCGCTCAAGCCCGGGTAAAGAGCGCTTGCCCCGGGGCAGGCGTGTGGCACAAGCCCCAGGGATGGTGGCTCTCGCCTCCCTAATACGCACCAGCTCCCTCTTGGATCTCCCCTTTCTCCGGACTGTCCCGCACTCTGATCCAAAACACAAGATGAGAATCACCAGGCAAGACACCCAGGGTGATGTCCAAAGTTTCATTTTTCGGGCAAAAAAAAAAAAAAAAGAGAATAAAGAAATAAAAAAATGAAATAAAATTAAGATGAGTAAAAATAAAATAAACAAGTAAAGAACTGGAAAAAATATATATATGTCCAAAATGTCCTTCTGTTTAGGATCCTCCGAGTTTTTCCCTTCTCTTTTTACAGCGGCAGAATGTCAAACCGTATAAACTGTCTTAATAAACCCATAAAGCTATGCTGTTTTTCCCTCTTTATATTGCTAAGCCACGACCCCCTCTCTTAAGCAAAACTACTCTGGAGACATTCAGGGGACACAGGAATATTTCATTCATGTATGTGTTCCACGGTTTCTTTTCAGTGGGTCCCATTTAGCCAAGGGGATGACTAATAACTAATCAATCAAGAGGGCAGATGCCCCCCTCAATCCCTCTGGAAGGTAGGAGTTACTCGTAGAAATCCACAGTTGTCCGCCAATCTCTTGTCACACCTTTTTGTTGTTTCCTTATCCTACTCGTAAAACAGCATAAGAAATGGCACACAGCCTGTTAAATTCCAAGTGACAGCAACCCGACCTCTCATATTTATTACAGAGAAAAAGATCAATCATAAGGAAAAATGATCATTAAAAAAAAAGAAATTCCCTTTTAGTCTGTGTGGCAGAACAAAAGTTGAAATGTATTATGATATATATATATAGCCTATATATATATGTTAAGTCGCAGGAGAGGCAGAGGGACAGAGAGCTGCAGGACAAACCATCGCGCTCCTCCTGATTGCCTGAAGCTGATACACTTGGAGGAGAAGGAGCTCGCCGTCCGCATCCAGATACTCTCCAAACTCTGTTAAGTCATGTTTCAAACGTTCCGGGGTTTTCTCTCTGGGAGTGTGTGTTTGTGTGCGCATGTTGAGTGTGAGCGCGCGTGTTTTCACAGTCGCTCAGGTAGGCAACCCTCACTGGCGGCTCTTCCCTTCGCGTTACGCAGGGCTGATTTGAGTTTTGGAGGCGTATATGCATCCCTCTAGCGGTTACAGTTTAAACAATCCTACACTTGCACACGCCTCACAACAGGAGATCATTACCAAGCAGTAGCCTGCATGTGGAATTTATTCCAATACAAACTTGATTATCTGTGTATAAAAGTTTATTTATTTATTTATTTATTTATTTTAAGATGTCTTCAGTCACAACACACTAGAGGTGGGAGTTTAAACAGATTTCCTCAGATTTTAAAAATTGCTGACTGGAATGTTTAGGGAAGTGTTATTTCAATATCTGTAAAAAAGAAAATTGTTGATATAATTACTTTGTCATTGGCGCTCAGACCTCAGACCTCGGCAGGAAACATGGCGCTTAATTTTGATAGATATGCATGAACAGGAGTAAAGAATAGGGATGCCCCCCCCCCCCCCCCCCCCCCCCCCCGCGCAGGCTGGAAAGTGGTGGTGGAGTGGAGATAGATAAAGTTGGTCAGTCTGTAGACTGCTGGTTAGCGAGACAGTATGCTGAGCTTTATAGGGAGATCCAGTGAGCTGATACTAGAGCTTCACTCAGGGACCTTGAAGATGGAAGTCCAGTTGGATAACAAAGGTTGAGAGAACCTGTCCATGATGAGCAAGCATGAAGCGAAAGTGGAGAGGAAAAACTCCCTGTTGGGAAGAAATCTCTGGCAGAACAAGGCTCAACATGGTGGTCCTCTGCCGGACCGGTTGAGATTAGACAGGGAACGCAGTAAGAGTCCGGGAGGAATGACACCTAATGAACCTTTAGCTACGATGGTGGAGGAGGGGCTGGAGGTGGGTTGAAACGGTGTGATCTGAATGAAGTCACAGCACATCCACCGCCTGCACACAGGAGCAGACAGCGCGGATCGGAGGCCTTTTAAGATGAACTTTAGATGCCGATTGGCAGGTGTGGTTCAAAGCTGATTGGGTGTGTCGCAGGTGTAGGAAAGCGATTAGTATGGCTCCATATTTAGGAAATACATGCTATACTTTTAAGAAAAGTAAAATAATCCTCATGGACAGGAGGAAAAGTTACTCTTAATCATAATAATAAATCGATTGTAAAACTAAATGCAGGTCATTTAGGGTAACATTTCATTTAACCAGTGGATTACCTATGTATTTTTTTAAGTTATTTTAGTGTTGTTAAGTTTGCAAATGATTGTGTTTGTTAAATTCCTGCTATGAAGTCAAATTTGCCTTTATTTAAACACATGGAAAAGTATTTAAATGAAAAGCTTGATAGTTAAGATTTAATTCAGTTTTGTCAGTTAAATTCATATTCCTTATACTCACACCTTGCCATGTTAGCCCTTCTTCTCCATTTGAACCCAGAATTTAACCTTTTTACATCCTTACACTATAATCCATTTCTTATTATTTTCTTTTTCATTACAAAGTATTTTAATAAACCAGAGAAAATTGCTCAAATCCCATTTATTTTTCAAAATTTTGATAATTTATTTTCTGAAGACTATAATACAGCATATTTCAATTGATTATTGATCAAATCTCATGTTTGGGATAGTCAGCTGTCATAAAGTATGACAAACAATTCTTAGAACTATTCTTCTGATTTAGGTATGCTATATTGGAATAATATTACCTGTTTATTTCTAATTCACTTTAGCCACTATCATAAACCCACAAAGATAAGCCCCTATCTGAGCTGCCCCTAGCTGTTCACAATTTAAGTGGTTTCTTTCACATGTAGGCTTTCAAAAATCAATATGGGACATAGAACCAAAGAAGGCATGAATTAAAGCCTGACATTGTTATCAAAGTTACAAAGCATTACTGCAGCTATAAGTGGCTAAAGCAATCTGTCTGTGTACTTTTCAGTGAAACCCCAACATTGTTTCTATGTCAAGAATTCTATGCATCAAAGTTTCAATGTGGCCTTTTTCAAGAATCCCTCGTTTAGCCAGTGGTTAATATTTTTACAGATGATACAGGGAAAGTGTAACTACCTTACTCAAAGGTATAGTGGAGGATTTTTACGAATTTTTTGAGAAGACCCGCCCTCTCCTCTTAAAAAAAAAATGCAGATGCACAACCCTGTATCCGCTCTCAAGAGGAAATTAAACAGGTGTGAGAGCATCCACAAGCCCATTTCTTGTGCACGCTCTGTTTAAAAGTTGCTGTTTGCATCGCTCATACAAGCTTACAATTTTTTCACTGTCAGACTCACCACCATTAAGTGAAAATGGGGACCAGCACGTGAGACGGCCTTACGTTAATATATCACCAGAATGATTGACAATTAGGAGGACCACTTATTTTAATGATCCACCTGGAAAAAGAACATCCTCCACTATTCCTTTAAAGTAAAAATGTTTTGATCTGATTCAGCAGGATAAGGAGGAAGTTGTGATCCAACTCAGAGAGATGGTTTATGCTGATTGGCTGGGAAAAGCTTTTTTTGTTGTTGTTGTGATCTGAAGTACTAGAATCAGTACACTGAAATGATATGTTCAAAAGACCTGTTTAATGAATCATTCAACTTCAGCTTTGATTTTACAGTTCAGATGGGCTGTTGTCATATAATCTGCTATTTACAGTAGATAGCTTTATTTGCATTTCTTTACATTTAAATTAGGCAATAAACATGGCTTTAGTCACAATAAGTGTACTAATCATAGCTCTTCAACTCAAAACATCAGATGAACTTTTAAGGCTCTCAACTTATTCTATTTTGAAGTTCTGTTAGCCAGAAGTCAGTCTGCACAGATGAAACAATACAACTGGTAAAAAAAACTTAAGAAAATGACTAATTTCCAGATTACATTTAAAAGAACAATTCCATAAATCACTTCAATTGAATTTCCAATTCAATTCAATTTCCATGCTATGTCCGTCCTGTGTCAGGTATATCAAGGGAGTTGGTGAAACAGCATCACTCTCAATGTGATTTGCATACAACATGAACAGGGGCCTAATCAGGCCCAGAAATGTCCAATTCCTGCACTGGGTGAGTTAAAAACTCCTTACTCTCAGCGGCAGGTGGGGTAAGCATCGAATCTCAACTGAGTCACAGAGCGAGTGCATCACAGCCTGATTAAATGAGTGATCGCTGTCACAGCTTCTTACAAATCACTTACTGATTCGTACGGTACAAGAATAGAGGAATCCGTGCCGTTTTCAGTAAGCAATGTTTGGTGAATCACTCCACTGTAGCATGTTTCTGTGCTTTGTTTGTGTATTGTGTGCATTGCAAAACATCGAAAGTCCATCCGACCGACTTGCTTTGATTTTAAATAAACTGATAAAGTAACAATCAGTTAATGATAGTAATTCGGTTTAGTTCGTTCATACAAATGTTTATTTCAATTAGACAACATGTTCAAGACCAACCCCACAGCTACCATCACTGCTGCTTAGACAGCAGTAGTAGCCGAAAGAAGAGGGGAAAAAATAGTAGTTAAGTTTCATAAATTCCTTTCTTAGACACGTAATGAATTTGAAAATAATTAAAAGCAAGAATATAGCCATGTAAAGCTGATCTGCTTATCAAGACAAGGCTGAATTGTTAAAGTGGTGTTTAAGCAGAATGTTTTCTCTGCATTGTTGTCTGCAGTCCCCATCTGCTGCCAGCTGACCGAGCTAACAGGCTTTCTAATCCACAGAGTCTACCTCCTGATGGAGAGGTCGTCTCTCAGCACATAGTGGAAGTTGAGCACAGTTTAATTCACGGTTGTTGTTAGGCTTCATTCAGAGACACAGTTGTCACTGAGATTGATGGTTGAGATGTATTTGAGGCTAAATAACAGAGTAGATTTATTTACATTTTCATGGCTAACTGGAGCAATTAATAAATCAGTCCTTCATTCATTTAAAGGGAGAGTGTGTAAATAATTTGGCTTTTTATCAGAAAAAATCACATATTGCTTTCAGAAATAAATACTCAAAAATAAAAGTGTTTCAGTAATTTAAAATGGAAGATGCCATGTTGCGTCATCATCTCAAAATCATGGTAGCAGACAAACTAGAAGGTGATAAACATGCAAAGATGATAATAATATATAACTCTACTTGCCACTTTCTGTGGAAATGGAGGATCATCATAACTCTTTTTTAGATTAGATTAGATTCAACTTTATT